AACTTGAAAGACTTAAGACTTAACGATTTGACGGAGGAAGGGAAGAAGACTTCACCGATTAACCTAAATAAATTGAAAGATTTGTTGATTACCTTTAAAAAGTTAAAGTTACCTTTAAAAAGGATACTCTAAGTCTTAAAATAATTCTATTGTCCCACTGGACTATCAGTATTTAAAAAGAAATTAAAACTGAATAACTGAATTCATAAAGAGATCTAGGTAAATCTTTCAAAAGTTCCTAGTATTGTCTAATTTTGAGTTAAAACCTCACTGGATTGAGCTCTTGGTATGTATGATAAAAGTTATTAGATTGAGTAAGTCTTTACCATTATCTAAACCATTACCTTTCGCTTGAGAGACGTGCGCGTTAACCACTCGGCCATTGGCCCACTTGGCTACTCAACCTTAACCACTCGACCACTCGGCCACTCGGCGTTAATCACAAAAGGTAAAGTTAATCACAAAAACGATGCCGGACGCGGAAGACAAAGCCTACGCCTTCAGACAGATAACTTCGGACGATTTTACGAACAAAAACAAAGATTTTGAAGGGTGAATGATGGAACGATGATGATCCAATGATGGAACGAAAAAGAAACGAAATCGTCTTTGAGAAGGGAAACACAATCTGTTCGAAGAAACCCTTGTTTTTTAGATTCGAGATCCGAAAAACGAAAATGCACCGCTTGATGGACTCAAGGAAAATACTCTTGAATTTGCTGAGCTTTTTGATTGTCCAAATTGTATAAGCGTGCCATAGGATCGAAGACTTCTTTAAGGAACAATCAATTAACAACATCAAAGCAAACGGTAATTCTTTGTAAACGGATTTTTTTAATGCAAAATAATTCTTTCATTGTTCTTTTTTTTATAAATGTTGTTGGTTTTATAAATAATTTATAAATATAAATGTTATAAATATAACTTACAACTTTCAGAATCGAATCCTGACTCAACCGTTCGCTTTATTCCCTTACTCCCAAACAATTTTTGTCAAAAACCCTGGCCAGACTCTTGAAATCACAAGGATTTCTTAGATCTCTAACCCGATAAAGGTTATGGGTCCAAGCCTTGAAAAACCCGAAAAAGCCTAAGCCTAAGCTAAGCCTACGCCTAAGTCCAAGCCTAAACCTAAGCCTAAGCCTAAGCTAATCCTAAGCCTAAGCTAAGCCTAAGCCTAAGTCCAAGCCTAAACCCAAGCTTAAGCTTAAGCCTAAGTCCAAGCCTAAGCCTAAGCCTAAACTGGCTGAGATCCAGAAAATGGAGGTTCAGCCCAAACCCAAATAGACATAGTGCGAAGCGCCAGCCGCTAGCTTTCGCACTAAGTCCAAACCCAAGCCTAAGCTAAGCCTAAGCTAAGCCTAAGCTAAGCCTAAGCTAAGCCTAAGCTAAGCCTAAGCTAAGCCTAAGCTAAGCCTAAGCTAAGCCTAAGCTAAGCCTAAGCTAAGCCTAAGCTAAGCCTAAGCTAAGCCTAAGCTAAGCCTAAGCTAAGCCTAAGCTAAGCCTAAGCTAAGCCTAAGCTAAGCCTAAGCTAAGCCTAAGCTAAGCCTAAGCTAAGCCTAAGCTAAGCCTAAGCTAAGCCTATACACATATTTGAGCATTTATAAATTTTGGTAATACCAAAAAAATTTAAAACCGGTTTAATGCGTTTTTCTCTGCGTTTTTTATTGTCATTTCTTACAAAACCTTGATAGTGAACGATTTTTTCAGTATCCCTTCCATAGGTTTTTCAGTATATCCCCATAACTAACGAGGTTCGACTGTACCAAACGATTTCTTTCATTATAAATGTTTATTGTTTACTTTTTATTATCTTTTAAAAACAATTTTTAGTATTTTAGAAGAATCTGCAAGGAGGAAAACTCGTATTTTTAAAAATATTGATAAACGAGTAAATAAAGAAAGCCGCTAAACGGATTATTCTAAAATTTTGGGATTTAGACGTAACTTTTTGTGCGCTATCTTTTCTATTTTGTCATTAAAATAGATTTCATTGAAAGAAACGGTTGAAATCGTATGATCGGATCGTTTTTGAACTTCTTGCTAATGAAAAATCTTTAAAACAAAGCTTTTGAGAAACTTTTAAAAGCCATTTGCAAGAGCGAGCTAATCAAAAATCGTATTTCATTTGATAGCTTGTGACTTATTGAATTAGAAAATGGATTTGGATGAAAGAACCTTCTCGGGCACAATAGGAAGACGCAGCTCGACTAAGACCTAAGAAGTACGGATATGCGCCAGCTCTCAGAGATTCAGTGGAAGTGATCGAGAGCGCAGATGGGCCGACCACATAGCCGATTCCGATAGCCAGAAGAAAGACGCAGATGGACGATACGGATCACAGAGTGGCTACCACGAGACCAGAAGGGCCCAAGAAGTCACCTCCTACTCAGATGGGCCGGGTGTTTGTGGCACAACCGTTCCGATAGCCAGAAGAAAGCGTGGCGTCGGATCACAGAGTGGCTACCACGAGACCAGAAGAGACCCAAGAAGTCACCTCCTACATCTACCTCGAATCTACATGGAGAGAGACCTAAGATCAGAAGTCGCCAGAAGAAGACGAGCGGCCTGGACAGCAATAGAAAACATCAAAGAAGTCACAAAGATACTCAAGAATCACCAGAGGACTCGGGCACACCTCTTCGACAGCACCGTCCTACCGGCACTCTACTACGGGACAGTGACCTGGGCCACGACACAGACTACCGAACGGGCCCTGAGAACGACGCATCGAGCCCTTGAAAGGAACCTCCTCGGGCACAATAGGAAGATGCAGCTCGATCAAGACCCTAGAAGTACGGATATCGCCAGCGCTCGGGACTCAGATCCAGTGGAAGTGATCGAGAGAAAATACTCAGATGGGCCGGCCACGTAGTCGATTCCGATAGCCAGAAGAAAAGACGACAGATGGGCGATACGGATCCAAGAGTGACTACCACGAGACCAGAAGAGGTCCATCGGAGGACCAGCAACGAGGTGGAGCACAAGAGTGGCAGAGACGGTCAGAGAAAGGATGGCTAGAGTGCAACCACCACAGCAACTAGAGTGCAACTAGAGTGCAACCACAGCAAGTCGAAGACTTCGAACCAGGAACACCCAAGATACAAAACACTGGATGACAATAGCAAGGGATAGAGAAATGTGGAAGCAGGTTGTGATCTGCGCAAATAGGAACACCTAAGTGTGAAGAACACAAGTGCGAAGACAGACTAAAAACAAATTTGGATGAAAGACTTCGTACTCCAACGCAAATTTACCAATTGGTTCAAATTTTCATCAACTTTACCCAGTTTTATACTTAAAAATTGTGAGTCCTGTGATCAATCGTTGTTTGGCAAAAGTTTGGCAGATTCAGATCTTTCGATTAAATAAAGATTTGAATTGTAAACTTTCAAAAATTTCAAAACCTTGTAAACTTTCAAAAAATTTGCCCCTTCTCATCAATTTGAGCTCTAGAAATTCCAAATAGAAGCCACCTTTTCCCCAGAAAATTCTTTTCTATCAGTGATTCTTTTTCTCATCTTTTCTCGTCATAAAACGACGGGCAAAATCAGTGCCCCAAAAGTTATGGTTTTGCCTCGTTTCACACCCGATCGCCTATTTATTGGTTGAAAGGAAGAAAAGAATGAAAGACTTATCATGGTTGGTAGGTTCATCCATAAATATTTACGGGGGAATCTCGAGAAGGGCCTTTTCTGCTGATAGATATGAGAAAAATGGGGAAAAGAGGTGAAGAAAGAAGTCCACTGTCTCCACATAACCCCGACAATTGCGCTGATCGTCGAGTTGTTTGTGGTTCTTATAACACATTGATTCATCAGTTCTTTTGTTCTAAACACTTCTTACATACTGTAAACATTCTAATAGGAAAGCTGGCTATTAGAGCCGGCTTCTAGGAGAATTTCTATCATTTTTCAATGTTTTTCAATGTTCCTCCAAAAATCTGCTTTTCCTTCTCCAGTATTCTTTTTGGAAAAGTAGCTGGGGAAATGTCTAATTTATTCTAGAAGTATCAAATGTTATATAAAGAATTGTAGCCCTTAATCTTGGCTACATTTTGCTACCAAAAACTTCCAGATTGGACTTATACAACTCATTTAACAAGCGCTTGAATGAGCTGAGCGCTAGTCGACATCTCTCTGGCGCTGCTCCTCCAAAAGAGCTTGACATCAACTTAAATTTTGGTTATCCCAGTTCAGCCAAAACAGCTAAGTGTGATTCTTAGTGTTATGAAATGATGCTAAACGCTATTTTTGCATTGAAAAGCTTTTCTTAACAATTTTTAATAGAGAAAAGTGTCCAAATGACAGATTCAAAAAGATATCGACTAGCGCTGATTCAAGTGCTTATTAAATGAGTTGTATAAAGCCAATTGGGAAATTTTTGGTAGCAAAATGTAGCCAAGATTAAGGGCTACAATTCTTTATATAACACTTAATACTTTTGAATTGATTGTGACGCTTGGTATGTATGCCGCAGCGCCAGAGAGATGTCGACTAGCGCTCAGCTCCTTCAAGCGCTTATTAAATGAGTTGTATAAATCCAATTGGGAAATTTTTGGTAGCAAAATGTAGCCAAGATTCAGGGCTTTAATTTTCTATATAATACTTGAAACTTTTTGAAATAAATTAGGAATTTACGTTTCCAGATAGTTTTCCAAAAAGTTGTCGCGAAAATTTGGGGTCATTCTATCTAAATTTGTTACTAGAATTCTTCTGAAAACATTTTATTTGACGCTTTTTATATTTTTTTATTCAGTATTTATCAAATAAGCTTAAAAAAATCAAAAGTTGTTTGGTATTTGGCTTAAAATCTCTAAAAATAGTAAGTGTGGTGACAGAAATTTTGACTTTTCTCTTTTGCTCAATTGCCTTCATCCAATCCACCAACTTTTTTCAAACTATTCAAACTTTTCAAACTTTTAAACTAATCCACTTTTCATCTATTACGTTCTAAAAGTGACTTTCAATCAAATATTAATTTCAAAATCTCAGAAAACCATGTCCGAACCCGAGCCGACCACTTCAACGATGGCCTCACCGACGAAATTCTCAATCTCCACCCTTACCTCACCTTCAACATCATCACCAATTCCTCAGCAAATCCCCCAATTTCCTCCAGTGGCTTTCCTCCAATTGATCTCTCAATATATGGCACGAAATCCATTCGCCCAACCCACCCAACCCATTCCCTCTTCTGTAAACTCTTTTCCACTTGTTCACTCACCAATCAATACTCCCGAGTCACCCGGATTGCAAAAGAATGAGCAGAAGAAAAGAAAACGAAAGAGAAAAGAAGAAACGTTTGAGAAAATGATTGATGCAAGAGAATCTGAAGAAGCGCCATCGACTTCGATCAGTGATTCACAAGAAAAGGTTGGTTGGAGCAAAATGAGAACAATTCTATTAATAAAACTTAGCAAAAACCATGCTGAATCATGCTGGATTATAGGAAAATCTTTTTCACGATGAAATTTAGGATGCTGCACAACAATTGCTTCAAAATGCCCTCACGCAAGCCGGTCAAATGCGCGAGAGAATGAGCTCGAGCAGCAGAAAGGTAAGCTTTCCTCCAATTGATCTCTCAATATATGGCATGGTCAAGCCAAAGTTATGCTAAATACAAACTTTTTCGGATTAAAGAAGGCTTTTGTCTTTCGAAATTCGAAAAGAAAGAATTGATATTTTGAATTTGATTGAAGAATTTGTAAGCAAAAGCAAGCTAAAAGGTTTTCGATTTCACGAAAAGCTACTAGTGCTCAGCTTGATTTTGGCTCTAGAAACAACTCTTCTAGTAGCCATTTACTTACAAGGAAAGGTCAAACGAGTGTCGTGGCGAAATGACATTTACTATTCTTTTTTCTCTAATACAAGCTAGCGGATAGCTCAGTGGTTTGGTATCTGGCCGGAAATCAAGCAGGAAAGGCCGAGGGTTTAATTCCCTCTCCGAAAACCTTACTTTACTTTTTTTACTGACAAGGGGAGGCGAACCGGGTGTCGTGGCGAAATGACATTTACTATTCGACGCAGAATTTTACGCTGATTCCGATTGTGCTTTCCGTTTTGCAACGCAGCACTCTGTCAGAAGTTTTAAGCGCTCAAAGTTTTGTATGGGATTCAAAAGTCACCGAGTTTAAAAGCAGATTTCCTAGAGGTTTCATGGAGCAGTGCTGGCCGAGTGGCAGTGAGTTAGAATACAAGGCAATGAATCTCTAGTTCGAGTCCCCTGTTCGACTTTTTTGGGTTTGCAAAGTTAATTGTTCTCCGTTTCAGATACAAGTCTATTTTAAACTAGTTTTCAGTTACTTTAGCATCAAATAACTATCACTATTAACATCAAATAGCTATCATTAAAATCTAAAAAAACTTTGACATTGACGTCGATGAAAAGGTAAAAAAGGGAACTTTACAAATCCAAAAAAGGAAAAGAAAAAGTAGAACGGGGACTCGAACTAGAGATTCATTGCCTTGTATTCTAACGCACTGCCATTCGGCCACCACTGCTCCATGCAACCTCTAGGAAATCTGCTTTTAAAACTCGGTGACTTTTGAATCCCATACAAAACTTTGAGCGCTTAAAACTTCTGACAGAGTGCTGCGTTGCAAAAACGGAAAAGCACATCGGAATCAGCGTAAAATTCTGCGTCGAATAGTACATGTCATTTCGCCACGACACTCGTTTGACCTTTCCTTGTAAGTAAAAAAAGTAAAGTAAGATTTTCGGAGAGGGAATTAAACCCTCGACCTTTTCTGCTTCTTGCTGTCCGGCCAGATACTCAACCACTGAGCTATCCGCTAGCTTGTATTAGAGAAGAAAGATGAAATAAAAGGCAGAAGAGAAGCAAGAAAGAGAAAGAGAAAGATAGATTGCTAGATTAAAAGAAGATCGATTATCCGGTATCTGCAAAATACTGTAGTACTGTAGTGAATGTAATAAGCTGTCAAGAAACTGAGAAATCACAGTACTAACTACCAATAATCAATACTATTTTGACTATTTTGTCAGCTAGCTGCAGCACTGGCTAACAAAGTAGTCAATACCTAATTTTCAAACGATTTTCCAAACGATTTGCAAACGATTCTAACAATATTCTCCGTTTTTGTTAGAATTCTTCCCTAATCATCGATTTCTCCCACGTTCTTTCATCGTCGTAAACTCCCGCGGAACCCCCAAAACGATGAGAAGCATTCTCTAACACCAAACTAACATCACTCTTCTCTAACACCACTCTTCAACGATTTATATTTGATTTCCCTATATTTCCCAACAATTACCTATCAATCATTATAAAAGCTTTTGGCTTTTAAATATTTTTGTAAATATGAATCTATTCGTAAGTTTTCAGCTAGATTTACGATAATAAATGACAGTTTTTTTAGTCATTAAGCGTCTCTCCACCTGCTCAGAATGTCGACTCGGATGATGTGGTGAAAATCAAAACACATCCATTGTTTCCCATTCTAAAAGTAAGTATTTAATTGATTTGCTTAGCTTTAATAGTTAGCTTTAATATTTAGCTTTTCGTGTTTAGATTTGCTTTTAGGATTTTAATTTGCCTTTAGTATTTAGTATTTAAAATGACCGCAAATTATGGCGACAAGTTTTTGGAATAGTTGCTGACAATTATTCCAAAAACCGACTCGCTTATTACCAAAGTGCCAAGTGTTGTATAGAAAAATAAAGCCCTGAATCTTGGCTACATTTACCCATTAAAAGTTTCTCGATTGGAATTATGCAACTCATTTTACAAGCTCTTGAATAAGCTCAGCCCGACAACTTTTTTGGAAAAACTATCTGGAAAAGTAAATGTCTAATTTATTTCAAAAAGTATCAAATGTTATATAGAGAATTGTAGCCCTGAATCTTGGCTACATTTTGCTACCAAACATTTCCCGATTGGAATTATACAACTCATTTTACAAGCTCTTGAATGAGCTGAGCGCTAGTCGACATCTGTCTGGCGCTGCGACATACCTACCAAGTGCCATAATCAATTCAAAAGTATCAAGTGTTATATAAAGAATTGTTGCCCTGAATCTTGGCTACATTTTGCTACCAAAAACCTCCCGATTGCATTTATACAACTCATTTTACAAGCTCTTGAACGAGCAAGTCGGCCTCTCTCCGATGATCAGCTATTTTTGACACTTTTCTTAATAAAAAATTGTTTTAAACGTCTCTCGATATTTATTTTATGAGAAAATAATATTTACTATCATTTAATAGCAATAAGAATAACAGTAAACTCTTTTGTCAAACTTTCAAAGCTAAAATTGAACTTGATTTTTAGGTTCATTTGAAAACGCCGAAAAAAAGGGAAAATTGAGCTTTTTCGAATACCTATTTGACAAGAAGATCTTGTAAAAGCCTTTCTATTGTTATATTTTTGTCAAATAGTACTTTTAAAGTAAAATACCACAAGTTTAATTGAAAGAATCCGTTTCTAGATGAAAATAAAGTGACAGATTGCCGGAGAGAGGCCGAGCTTATTTAAGAGCTTGTAAAATGAGTTGTATAATTCTAATCGAGAAACTTTTAATGGATAAATGTAGCCAAGATTCAGGGCTTTATTTTTCTATATAACGATTGACACTTTGGTAATAAGCGAGGCGTTTGTCAGCAACTTTTCCAGAAAAGATGTCGCCATGATCCGTCTGTAATAGGATTCTATTCCAAAACTACACCGGAACACAATCGTATTGAAGATCATTGTCATTAAAATTCAATAGAGACTTTCAGTTTTCTTATTCGATTTCAGTTTTCTTATTTTAAAAAGATTTAAAGCCAAATCAGGCTAAATAAAGCGAATTTCTGGCCTTGCTTGACCATTGCTCGATTTGAAAAGTCTCTGAACCCCTCTCTGAACCCCTAAAAGCCCATATTTCATATTAATATAAAAATCCTCAAAAAAAAGGAATCTCATTACTATTATAAACCTATAAGCTTTTCAGCTTTTCTGTGAAAAAATCGAGACAGCCACGTATGACATGGAAACATCGGCTTTAAAAATGGATGACGTGGAAAAGCTTTTCGCTGAACTTGAAACAAAAAAAGTGAAACCAAAAACCGGAGATATTCAGGTAAAAAAAGGCTTTCTTTACAACTAATCAACAATGCTATCAACAATTAGTTGGACGAATTCGTTTACGATTCGATTTTTGTGCTCCGATTGCAGTTGGCGGAAATTGCAAGAGTGGCCTCGTTGTCGGAGGCGTTTAAAAACAACTTTTCTGGTGAGTTTAGAAACGAAAACGTAATCGATTTCTATAGGGTTGTTCAGGATTAGAGAGACTAAAGAACTTGAGAATTTAAAGACAACCAGACAACCAGAACCAAGCTTTCAAGCGTAGCTGATCTCGATTCTTCTTGATATTAGCCTTGGTGACAACGGTCGCTTTACCGTTGACAACACTCGCTTTACCGTTGACAACAGCCGCTTTACCTTTGACTCATTCCAAGACGATTTTTGATAATACGGCTCGTAGAAGTTCGAGAAATTCCCATATTCTTTGCCTTCCTGGCCAGCGAACGAGTGGCTTTCAAGCGTAGCTGATCTGATCTGAGCTGAACCTTCTTGATATTAGCCTTGGTGACAATGGACCACGTCCGGAACGATCAGAATTTCTTCCTAACACTTGAAAGCGTTTGATCGCTTGATTGTTTGATCGCTTGATTGTTTGATCGCTTGATCGTTTGATCGTTTGATTGTAAACAAGTTGTTTGCGTATCATCAATCGCTTAGAGATGTCCATTGCAAGATTGCCGTAGGTCGATGATCGCAATTCGGTATATTGACTTCTTAGCCATTCTAAAAAGAGATTTTTTGAGAAAAAATAGTGAGTAAATAGTTAAATAAATAAAATAAACTAAAAGAAAGAAAAAAAGTTTATAAATTGTAAGCAAAAATATGTATTATCACAGGATTTAGTTCCTATCTGGTTACTTTATAGTTTCTATCTGGTTACTTTATAGTTCCTATTTAGTTCCTATTTAGTTCCTATTTAGTTTCTATTTAGTTCCTATTTAGTTCCTATTTAGTTCCTATTTAGTTCTTTTATAGTTCGTAATCCTGAACAATCCTGAACAATCTTTACTAAATTCAGAAAATTCCACTACTTTTCGCTTCTTTTAGCGTCACTTCGTAAACGGGTCAACCACGAGACATTGATTGGTTTGCTGGGGGACAGTGATGAGGATGGATCGACGTCTGATGGAGAGACAACATTGGTGAGTTGAGGGAACAATTCGCACAACAATTCGCACAACAATTCGCACAACAATTCACAGCTTCTACAATCAGCAGCAGTTTTAGTTTCAGAGAATTGATGCATTTTGTATTAAATTATTGTAAAAATAGGTTAAACAACGTTTTCAGAGAGTTGCCGGTGAAATGGGCTCCTCTTCGAATACAACAGTGGCAATGATGTGCACTCCGAATGGAACTCTTTCAATCCCACTCAAAATGCCCCCAATCACTCATCATTTATCACACGAAACAGGGTCACCGAGTGGAAAGGTTTAGATTTAAATGCCAATAGAAATTAGCTCAGAATTTCTCTCTTTCTCTTGATTTTTCAATAAACTTTTCAGCGTCGCTGTTTCGACTTTGTTTCTCTTGACACTGCGGATGAAATTTGATCATTACAGATATTTATAAATCATTTTTTTTTGCTTTTAATATATATACTTTATTCAGTTGAATAGCGACAAAATAAGATCACAATAATCACCCAGGACACCACTCAAAGCACACCCAAAAGATAAAAAGATATCTCAAGAAAGAATCACAAAGCAGTCAAATCAATTGCCGAGATTGCGGCTTTAAATCTGGCCAAGGTGGGAATATCACGAAGATGACGGGGTTAAAGGTTTCACAATTTAATAACTCGATTAAAAAAGATGGGAGCTCTTAGAGGAAACGGAAAGTTAAGTTATGAGAAAAGGCTCCCTTCTGGAGGTGAATTCAAAGAGAGATTAGAGAGCCGAATTCAAAGAGATCAGAAAAAAGTGGATCGGGATGAATGCCTTGAACAATTTTAAAGCATACCATTTTAAAGCACTCCACTAAGCACTAAGCATTCCACTAAGCACTAAGCATTCCACTAAGCACTAAGCATTCCACTAAGCATTCCACCGCTAAGAGAAAAGGCTCCCTTCTGGAGGCGCGATAATGGAAATGATTTGTTCTGAATGGTCACATTTATGACTCACTGGGGATAAGAAAATGGAAATATGCAATCCTGCGCAATGATGGACATGATTTGTTGATCCCTTAGAGAGCCGAATTCAAAGAGATCAGAAAAATGGGGATCGGTATGAATGCCTTTAACAGTTAAAGCATTTCACTAAATCGGCGGCGTTGCTGTAACGTTTCAATAACGATAAGGCGGCGTTGGTGTAACGTTTCAAGACCAAAGAGTTGCAAACAGAAAGATAGAAAATGATAGACCAATTCAGAGGTAAATAGTCGTTTCAGCTTTTAGAATTTGTGACTTATCTAAAGGAATTTTAGAAAATATAAAATTGTTATTAAAAGTTAAGCATCATTGGACAAAAGTTACATCGTCACAGCTTGAAGAGATGTGCAAATCTTAGAGAAAGAAAAGATCAATGGGCAAAAGAATGCTTGAGAAAGCTAAAAGCTTTTAATAGAAAGATAGAAAATGATAGTATAGATTTATTCAAAATGAATAATGTGACAAAAACAAATACAAAACTCCCTACCCTGAATACTCTTAAAGATGTATACGGAAAAAGAGCGAAATTTTCTAGACCCAGTCACTAGAATCGACCCAGTCACTAGAATCGACCCAGTCACTAGAATCGACCCAGTCACTAGAATCGACCCAGTCACTAGAATCGACCCAGTCACTAGAATCGAGCCCGTGTCCTAGATTAGACCCAGTCACTAGAGTCGACCCAGTCACTAGAGTCGACCCAGTCACTAGAGTCGACCCAGTCACTAGAATCGACCCAGTCACTAGAATCGACCCAGTCACTAGAATCGAGCCCGTGTCCTAGAGTCGACCCAGTCACTAGAGTCGACCCAGTCACTAGAGTCGACCCAGTCACTAGAATCGACCCAGTCACTAGAATCGAACCGGTGTCCTAGATTAGACCCAGATACAAGACTCCTAACCACTCGGTCATGACGGCACAAAATCAAAATTGGACAAAAAGTTGTATCTACAGTCACCCAGTCACCCAGTCACCCAGTCACTATAGTTCCAGTCCATCAGCGCCTCCCTTCTGGAGGCGCGATGATCTTTCTTACACATTTCAGGCCACAAAACTGTCTAAAGAGTTTTTTGAAAAAATTCAAGGAACTCGAGATTGCTAGATTTTATAAAATTTCGCTAAAACGAGTTTTTAGGCATCAATAATAGTGCAATCCTTTTCCAAAGCTGCTCAGCTTTCAAGTTTTCCCCTTTTCCTGGAAAATTAAAGAACGCATCCGATCTCTTTCATCAAAAACATTAAAAATTTCATTAAAAACATCAAAAATGTAAATTACATGTTTAAAGAAGTAAAAGTTATGTAAATTTTACATGGAAAACACAAAACCCGAAATATTCTAATATTCTCTATCTCTAATCTTTATCTTTAATGTTAAGCTTTCAATTGAATCCTTGAAAGATCTTCTTGAAAGATCTTCTTGAAAGATCCTTCTTCATCTTCTTCTTCTTCATCTTCTTCTTCTTCATCTTCTTCTTCTTCATCTTCTTCTTCTTCAATCCATCTTCATCTTCTCCTTCTTCAATCCTTCTTCATCTTCTTCTTCAATCCTTCTTCATCTTCTTCTTCAATCCTTCTTCATCCTTCTTCAATCCTTCTTCAAAACCCCAGTGTTATTTTTGAAGTGTCATTCAAAGGCATTTTCCCAGTCGATCTGAAGAGAGGTTATTGAAAAGAAGAAAAGAAGAAAAGAAGAAAAGAAGAAAAGAAGAAAAGAAGAAAAGAAGAAAAAAGAAAAAAGAAAAAGAAAAAGAAAAAGAAAAAGACGAGGTTCTGAAAGGATTTTGACCGTTTTTGTAGAGATCAAAGAGGATTTCAATTGGATCTTTCTATAGAAAATTCTATAGAAAATTCTATAGAAATCTCAGTCAAAAAAAAGTCAAAAAAAACTCGTCCAACTGTGGCAATTGAGCTTGAGAAAGCTAGTTAGATCTAAAAGGCACATATTTTAAAATGCAATCGTAACCCAAACGCGAGTTTAGATTCGTTTTGATCTGATTGATTGGCTTGTGTTTGATTAAATGATACCAAATTAGGTTAATTGAATAGAAACTTGCAAAATTGCAAGGAAAATAGCAAATAGCAAATAGCAAATAGCAAAATTACAAGGAAAATAGCTCCATTTCACTCTTTTCAATTTGAATTGATGATTATTATGATAGTTTTCGATGATAGATGCTTTTTAGAAAACGTTTTAGCCCAGAGAAATGAATTTCTTGTGAATTTCTTGTGAATTTAATCGCTCCATTTCACTCTTTTCAATTTAAATCGATGATTTTGATTCGATTTTGATGCTATTTTGATTTTTGATTGTACCATTTTCTTATTTCTGCGTTTTAATGATGTCTTCAAAGTTATATTCGTGTTTTTTAGCAATGCTTCTACTTAGCTTGAGTCTTTTCTTCTTGCTTGTTGCTTTATTCAAAGCCGATCCAAAGTAAGTACATGCAATGAAACCGAGCCTAAGATAGGTAAGTCTCGTAGGTAAGTCGGCACTCGTATATTTTTTGAAATTAGCTCATTTGGTTCAGTAGAAAATTTTTTTTGAGCCCCCAAAGTTTAGGTTCAAAAATGCCCTAATGGCTATAAAAAATTTTCTACTGAGCCAAAAAACTTGCCTAGTAGCTCATTTTGTAGCCAATTTAATGTAGATTCTTAAAGTAAAGCTACATTGAACATTTGTTTTTCAAAGCTAGGAGAAAGAGGGCGAGGAACGACTTCAGTTGAACTCGGTCGCTGTTTTCACATTTGAGAATTGCCCTGAATTTGTTCCTCGCCCTCTTTCTCCTACTTTCAACGAAAAATTGTTTTAGATGGCTTTACTTTAAGAAACTACATAAAATTGGCTACAAAATGAGCTATTAGGCAAGTTTTTTGGCTAAGTAGAAAATTTTTTATAGCCATTTTTGAACCTAAACTTTGGGGGCTCAAAAAAAATTTTCTACTGAACCAAATGAGCTAATTTCAAAATTATTAAAATTTATGTATTATGAACATTTTTTATATGGGTGACTTTTTGATTGGATGCCGGGGAATACCCTCATTCGTTAGCGGCTGAATTTCGTAAGCGGCTACGACATATATACCGTATTTCTTCGAATAGAAGACCGGGTAAAGAGTATCATCGCGTGCTCCTGCGTAGCAGCCTTTTCAAATTTTTTTTATTCAAAAAGGCTTTAATGAAGTGCTATAGAGCTGGAAAATGGCTCAAAAATCTGTTAGCTCATGTGGTATTTTTGATTTCATTTTCCAGCCCTATAGCACTTCATTGAAAGCTTTTATGCAGAAAAGAAATTTTAAAAATGGCTGCTACGCAGGATACGCGTACGCGATGATACTCTTTACCCGGTCTTCTATTCGAAGAAATACGGTATATGCAATGAAACTGAGCTAAAGATCAGTCCATCTGATTTTGTTTTTAAATGTAACAACACTTATTTTTAGAGTATGCACTGCTCTTTACAAGGTGATAGATGAAAATTGTCCGGCAAACGCTGTAATTCAAGAGATTCTAAACGACGAGAGGCCGGAGCCAACGAAACGAGAGTCGAATTGGGGAATTGTTGACACAGAGTGAGAATTAGAGTTAAATAGGAAGAGTTTATTTGAAAATGAAAATCTAACTGTATAAAGTTTGATAGTATTCGGTTAATAACTTTATTTAGCCAAATTTTCAATCTGTTTGAGCGATTTCATGAAAAGCCAATGAATCTTAGAAAAAACAAGCTTTTACACCCGAATTTTCTTACAAAAAGTAGATGATACAAAAAGACCGATACAGAACGATGACGGTGCGGGGATTGAACCCGTGCAAAGACCTACTGGTTCACCTCTGACGCAAGCGCACTAACCACTAGGCCACCGAGGTAGTTGGAAAGGCCGTGTGAAAAAGGTTCTTATTGCGATGAGTGCAAGCTACGAGCCGTCATCAAAGGAAAAGTTGAATAACTTTTTTTGCTTGAGGCTTTAGAAATTTCTGATTACAGATTCGGAATCAGCGTGTAATTTTGCATCAGAAACACTCTGTTTCTAGCCAAAAATCTCGGGGGTCTGCTGGGGTTCTTTTGTCTGATGATTGGATCGGAAAAAAAGTCTTTATTGAATTGAATCCGATCTAATTTTGACAGAATTTCGATGAAATAGAAAGTAAGTTCGATGAAATAGCAAGTAAGTAACAAACGGATGCGCGTGTCCACCTGAAACGGTGACAATCCCGCCTGTGATTGTTGGAATTGTCGGCTCTTGTAGCGAACATATCCAGATATTTCTTCCCGTCCGCGTCATACAAAAACTGGCGCTCGCCTCGAGTTTCCCAACGAATTCAGCGAATTTGCCGAAAAAAAAGAGAAAATTTGCTGAAAAAAAAGCTACAAGAGCCGACAATTCCAACAATCACAATTGAACATTTTCAACAACAACAATCACATTCAATTGAACATTTTCAAGAAGCCAAAAAAAACTGCTAGACTTTTAGAATGATTCGCAGAAAACTAAATTCACACCAAGCACATTAAATCTAAATCTTTATATGATAAATACATTGAAATCAAAAGCTCATTTAGCCGCTTGTTGATCAGCCGTAGTCAAGCCTTTGAGGTGGGCACAGGACTTGGGAATCGACTCTTTGCTGTCATGTCGACATTCGGAATTGCCAACAAGTTGAATAGGTAAATCAATTGTAAACTTTATCATGATAATAAAGATCGATTTTCATCATAAAATGAATCTAGACAAGCGATTTTTCCGGCTCGTCACGAACTGTGCACTTGGCATTGCATTGAGGCACTTTGGGAGATCTCGACTCTTTTCCCTGGTCTCATCCCAGAAAAAGCTATCGATGTTTCGGCTCGGCACACGGTAATACTCTTTGGACTTTGGCTTTGGCTATTTGGAAGATTATTTTAATATTAAAGCCAAATGAAATTTCTTCAGACTAGATCTAACAAGGGAAAGGCACGAATTCAAGGTGAACTTTTGTCTGGACCCTGAACTTTATAGAATCGGGTATGATGAATCATTGAAATCAGAATTTGAAATCAAAATCTGCCAAACGATTTTCCAGGCGTGTCACACTTGGCGTTAAAAAGGAAGAAAAGCAAACAAAAAAAGCTGCATAAGCGACCGAACCCTGATCCCGTGGGCGGAAGGTTGCCCATTAGGTCCCATAAGTGGTTGCCCATTAGGCCACCAACGTATCGAGAAAGAAAGCAGAACGATGGCGGCAGGGGGGATTGAACCCGTGCAAAGAGCTAGTGGTTCGCCTTTGACACAGGCGCGCTAACCACTAGGCCACTGAGGTAGTCGGAAAGGATCCTTTAACACCAACGTCCGGCTCCTCTTAGGAAGGAGCCTTTTAAAGCATTTTTTCCTAGCACAAACCAGGTGCGTTGGTGGCGTAGTGGATAACGGCCTGGTCTTTCGTCCGCGCAGTCCGAGTTCGGTCCCCACTTGAGCCCTTTGTTTTTATTTTTCTGCCGTTTTGAGGTCAAATTTTCGATTGAAATTTTACACGTTTGAAAAGTTATTTGGCAGATTTTGATTTCAGACTCGGATTTGACCCGATTCTATAAACGGACAAAAGCAAAAGGACAAGGTGTCCAGACAAAAGCTCACCTTCGGTTCGTGCCTTTTCCTAGTAAGACTAAAGCAGGTAAAACTAGAGTCAGAGGCCGGGTCTCATAGTAAGGTCAGCTTATTGTTATCTTTGCTGCAAGTCTGACCCACAAATCGTATCTAGGTCTGCCACAGTAGCCACCTCTGAACCAAGAGTCCAACAAGTTAAAGACAAGTTAAAGACAAGTTAAAGACAAGTTAAAGACAAGTTAAAGATTAATTCAACCGAACAAGTTCAATCCGTTTTCAGAAAAACCTCTACGATGAACTCGTGATCAATGAGTGTTGTCTTTATATTGACCCATTCAAAAGACACTTTCCAATTCAACAACAGCAACAAACTCTTCGTTTTTATGGCTCCTTCATTCAAGTAGGGATTGAGTGATAAAGCAAATGATTCCAGAGCTACAAATACTCGATTCCAGAGCTACAAATACTTTATCGACTATCAAGACGAATATGAGCCAATTTTGAAATCCGGATTGAAAGCTTTTGCGAAACTTTCAGCGTCAATGGCGCCAATTGAAGTGATTGATCCGGGAGCGACAAGGTGAATGAGTGCTTTGAATTGACCAAATATGCAAATGTCTTTCAATTGTTTGATTTGATTCAAGATTTGATTTGTTTCAATTCAAATTCAGTTACGGCTTAAACAAAGTTTCCTTTGAAGTGCTTATGTTCAACTAAAAGTGGCGTATTCAACGTTTTGAACTTGCATAGACTTTTAAGATTGCTTTAACTATTGGATCTTCTAGAATCTTCTAGAATCTGTCTTCACACTCGTCGTGGCGGCTTTACAGGAGACTTTCATCAGGCCTCAAATCCAACTTTTCTTCGCAACACAATTCAACATTTTTCGAAACCGAAAAATCGTCGAAATGGTATCAAGAAACGACAAATAAAAGAATTCAATGTGGTCAAAAAATCCCTTTTTCAAACATTCTTTGATCTCTCGCATGGCAGAAAGAAAAGAGAAAGCAATGACGATGGTAAGCTTATGAAAAACCAGTTGAAAAACCCGGACAAACGGACGGACATTGCTCTTTTATATACTATTGGGTTGGTGAATTCAAAACTGCCGGACTTTGAACTAAAATTTATTCAACATAAAGCCATCAATTCATTCGAAATAATTTCCATTATTATTGACGACTTCTGCCCATTTTACAGGCAATTTGCGGATTCCTCTTTCGTAGTAGGATTTTGGTTTGTGTGTGAGACAAGTGTGAGACTCAAAAATGGAGGACGGGAGATGGAGACTGGAGATGTCCCAGTTTGAGCACTTTCTTCAAAAGAAACCCATTTTGGTGTCAATAGAAAAGTTGTAGAGAATCAAAAATTAGGCTTATAGCCAAATTTCCAAAAGATACACTTAGTAGTTTCGCTTAAAATGCAAGTTTTGTTGCAAGTTTTGTGAAAATTCGTAAATTTGGCATTTCTTGAAAACCAGTTTTTGAATCGTTCTGAAAATTTGGATATAAGCTTGATTTTTGATTCTCTACAACTTTTGACATTGACACCAAAATGGGTTTCTTTTGAAGAAAGTGCTCAAACTGTCAGATATGACAATAGCCCGCAGTTTTCAATTCACCAATCTAATACAGGGTGCGGCATAAGTATGGTTACAAGGTTGTGACGTTGATTTAAGAAACTGATTGATTTTTATGTCTTGCCAAAGGATTATTCTCACCCTGAAGGCTCTGAAGGCTTTCACCCAGGCTCTGAAGAAAGCCTGGACGAAAATTCCACAAAGTACCCTGCGGGCCGCCGTGGAAAGTTATCCAAAGCGTCTTAAAGCCGTTATCAAGAATAAAGGTGCCCATATTGAATAATTTGTTATTTTTTAAACGAATATGATTACTGTTGTTAATTTTAAATAAAGTTAACATGAATCCGTTCATATCTCATTACGATACACGGTTCTGAGTCTGTAACCATACTTATGTCGCACCCTGTAGACAATTGATAGACAAAATCTAAACAAAATCAAAATTTAACTCAATATTTTAACTCAATACCAATATGGTTCCAAGTTGGTTCCAATATGTTTGCAATATGGTTCCGATATGGTTCCGATATGGTTCTAATCAGTTCCAATATGGTTCCAATCAGTTCCAATATGGTACCAATATGGTTCCAAGATGGTTCCAATATGGTTCCAAGTTGGTTCCAATATGGTTCCAATATGGTTCCAAGTTGGTTCCAATATGGTTCCAAGTTGGTTCTAATATGGTTCCAAGTTGGTTCCAATATGGTTCCAAGTTGGTTCCAAGACGGTTCCAATATGGTCCCAATATGGTTCCAAGTTGGTTCCAAGATGGTTCCAATATGGTTCCAAGTTGGCTCCAATATGGTTCCAAGTTGGTTCTAATATGGTTCCAAGTTGGTTCCAATATGGTTCCAAGTTGGTTCTAATATGGTTCCAAGTTGGTTCCAATATGGTTCCAAGTTGGTTCCAAGACGGTTCCAATATGGTCCCAATATGGTTCCAAGTTGGTTCCAAGATGGTTCCAATATGGTTCCAATATGGTTCCAAGTTGGTTCCAAGATGGTTCCAATATTCAGAATCAAAGCCTAAACGAGAAACCGAATTTTTCAGTTCAATTTCTCCTATTCGGCGATGATGTGGATTGGTTGCGCTCAATTGAGGCTGAAATGAAGATTTTAAATCCAAATCTTCATATAGTTGATCAAAAAGGATCGCCACCGGTCGCTACATGGCATTTCTTTTCACAATATTGTGACAAAGTTGTGATCACAGGTGAGACACAAGTTTATGATGGGAAAATCAACTTCTTTTCACTTTCTAAAGTTTCCATTTCAAGCTTCTTCGTCAACTTTTGGCTGGTGGGCGGCTTACTTTTCACAATTGGGGCGGCCGAATGTTGAGGTAAACATAAATCGACACTTTTTTGATATATCAACTTCTTTCTTATGTTTTTCAAATGTCAAGAAAGTATCAAATCGTGTTTTAAAAAGAAATAATGATATTTGAAAAGTGTTATCATTGAGAACTACAGTGCGTAACAAAATGATAGATCCACCATGTTTTTCGCCCCAGGAACTAGACATTTTGAATAAAAATTCAAGTTTTGACCAAAAACAAGGTCAAAATTTAGTTTTAAATCAATTTGCATCAAATTGTTATTTCATTTTTGACCGAGTTACAGCGTTTTAAATTGCAGGAGATGGTCAAAAATGTTCGGACCACCCCACATGTGGTTTGGACGCCTTCTGACCGATGTTTAGCCCACTCGAACAAATTTTCGTCAAGAATTTTTGATTCAACGTTGTAGAAAAGTATTTAAGGATCATTATGGTACCACATGTGGGGTGGTCCGAACATTTTTGACCGAGTTACAAGCGCGTGAAGCCAGCATATCAGAAAGTAACCTTTTTAACACAGTACAAGGTTAAATTTTTGTCTCCTGAAATTTAAAACGCTGTAACTCGGTCAAAAATTAAATAACAGTTTGATGCAAATTGATTTAAAACTAAATTTTGAACTTGTTTTTGGTCAAAACTTGAATTTTTATTCAAAATGTCTAGTTTCTGGGGCGAAAAACATGGTGGATCTATCATTTTGTTACGCACTGTATGTGTTGGATCAAGCACAAGAGTTGTGCAAAGATGATAAAGATGTTATTATTTTTTTTAAGAAGATTCAAAGATTTTGCTTTATTTCTAAAAGAAACTGGTTCCATTTAGGTCTACTACAATAAGAGATTCGCCAAAAGCGCCGCCTATTTAACCCAGCAGAAAGATGAAGATTTCTTTTTGCCCAATTGGATACCCCTTGATTTGGAGAATGGAAATGATAAACGAAAATAAAATTTGACCTTGAACCGTAATCACGAGTTTCACATTAAAAAAAACTGTTTATTCATATTGGCTGGTAAAAAATGAAATTGTTCCATTTCTTCTATTAGGTACATGCATAAGAAATGCGGATTTCCACATTTTCAACAATTTTCATAAATTTCCAACGATACAAAGCTGATGTTATAAACCAGAATCGATGAATGTTATAAACGATTTAAAAGTTGTAAATCTCCTCTACAAGATAGGCTAAAGCGTGTTTCAATTGATCGAATCATTGAAGAGATTTCGAGAGCGAAATGCGAGTGACCAAAAAAGGAAATCGAGTCACTTTAGGGACAAGTTTAGTCTGGTCATAATAGAGTTAGTTTCCCAAAATTGAAGATTTAAAGAAAAAAAGGATAACTATTTATCAATTTGTTAAAAAAGTCTAACGGAAATGCATTTACAGAAATTTAGATAGAGCGTAAGTTCAAAACCCTCAAATTTCTCAAAAAAGTCGACTTTTTCACAAAAAAAAGAAAAATGATTGTAAAAACAAAGTTTTCCCATGAAATGATCCCAACTCTTAATTATTTTGAATAATATTTGAATAATATTTGAATGATTTTGAATGAAGGGCGCTCATTTTCCACTATATAGTCAAAACCGAACTATTTTGACGACACTAAACTTGTCCCTAAAGCGACTCGATTTCCTTTTTTGGTCACTCGCATTTCGCCCTCGAAATTTCTTCAATGCTTCGATCAATTGAGACACGTTTTAGCCTATTTTGTAGAGGAGATTTACAACTTTCAAATCGTTTATAACATTCATCGATATCTGGAAATCTTCTAATCGATATCTTCTATCGTTGGAAATTGATGAAAATGTTGAAATCCGCATTTCTTATGCATTTACCTAATAGAATCAATACTTACTTACGCTCAGAGTTGGTGCACTTATTGGAAATAGCTTCGTTTCATTTGACAAATCCACCCGAGAGAGAGCAGTGGTGGTGTAGAGAATAGCCTGCCGGACTACAGAACCCATGCCGAAAATTTTCCGCTTTAAAAGCGTTGTTTGTAATTACGCGTTAGGTGGGGGTGGGGTACTATTAGAGGGGCGCGGTCCAATTACAGTATTTACGGTAATATTTATTCCTTTTTAGCTAGTTTACAATGAAATTTGTATTGCAATTTATATCTTTTCAACGAAAAAGCTGTACAAAGCTTTTATTCAACTTCTGCATTTATTTATTCTAGTCTTGAGTACGGAAATTCAGAAAGTAACGGTTCAAATGATCTTTGTAATGATGGAAAGTGTGATTTCTTTCCTTTTCTTTCTTTTTCTTTCTTTTTCTTTTTAAAGAAACCCATTTTATTGTGTTTATTTTGAAAAAAAGTATAATTTTATTTGTTTAACACAAGCGGAATCTGACACAGAAAATTGGTCAAATAAAAGCATTCTCCACTGTACCAATTGTTGTTATTTGGATCCAAATAGGCACAATCCTCATCTCCGTATTTGTTTGATGGCTCTCCTAAGTGTTTTGCCTTACATTACAATCGAAAAAGAGAGCATACAAGCCTGTTCTAGTTGATTTTAAAGTTTGTTCTAGCTTGGTCTAGAAAAGTTGATGCTTTGATTGCCTTGATTGCCTTGATTTGAGTGTCTTGATTCAGTTAGATCAGCAAATGGTCATACTAAACTAATAAGCCAAGAAACTAGCCAAGGAACTAGCCAAGGAACTAGCCAGGAACTAGCCAGGAACTAGCCAGGAACTAGCCAAGGAACTAGCCAAGGAACTAGCCAAGGAACTAGCCAAGGAACTAGCCAAGAAACCTATTTTTGATAGAAACATCTCTATTTGAAAGCGTTTGACTGCTCACCAGGTGCCCATCTCTGGTAATCGAACGCCGATCCATCAACCCATTCCCAAACGGTTCCATTTTGCTTCAATCCAATCATTACTCGATATGATCCCATTTCTGGAATGAGTTTTGAAGATATAAAGCTATACACCGAGGGCCCTGGATGCTGTTTATTCTGCACGATAACCACAATTCGACACACACACAATACTAGGCTATATTTTACGAGAAAATTCATTTATTTCATGTTTACTTGTTAGATTTATTGCTAGAATTGATAAAAATTAATTGGCAAAATGAATTTGAATCCCGAAAACTTTTGAACTTCCTTTATGGATCGGCAGATACCTAAATTAACTCATAAATAACAAATAAAATTAACAAAACAAACAGAAAACAAAACAAACAAAAATAAAATATGTACAAAGGAATAATTTAAACTCTTAATATAAACATGCATCAAAAATTTGGGGCAACTTTTGCCGCAGCTGTGACAGCAAGATTTCTAGTACGAGTCTCAGTGCTCTCGATAAATTTCTGAGCTGCCCAACGAATGCGACCATACTTTTGGCATGAGCATCTTGCTGTTACAGTAAAATTTGTGCCGTTTCCCGTCCACTGAATGTTTCTCCCTTTTCTGGCAACTTTTCCACCAGGTACCCGACCACAAAGGGGACAATGTTGAAGAAGCAATTCCAGCTGTTCAAATTCTACCAGAAGATACCAGAAGATTGGGCCTCGAGTTAACTTCCTCCAACATTGTTTAACCTCAAAAACTTTTATGACACATTTAAAGGCACCAAAAAACCAAAAGAAAATAAAAAATCCAGAAAAAAAGCCCTAAAAGGTTGGCCACGCGAAATGTGAATAAGCTTTGAGCACAAAATAATTTGCGGCCATCGCCCAGCGCTCGCCGCCATGTACAAAGTACACCACCAGCCAGGAATTCAGTGTCTGGAACAAAACAGGAAAACCTACGCTTCAAGGCAGTCGTCCCAATAAAATTATTATAGAATGCATCATGAATTGCCACCAAATTTCCTCCCTCAATGAAACACGATTGCTCATTCGCTGTCCAACCGTCACCTAAGGATCTAAAGCATTAATATTTATCATTGAATATAGCCAAACCTTCTTTCAAGGTACTTCCAATGCAAAGTTGCCATTCCGGAAAATAATCGAATCCACTTGGACAATCAACACCTAGAATAACGCAAAAACTAGAAGCTAAAGCTAATAGCTAAAAGCTAAAAGTTAAAAGCTAAAAGCTAATAGCTAAAAGCTAAAAGCTTTGAAAAGTTAAAAAGCTCATTCAAAAATCGATTAGCCACAAACCAAATATTCGTCTAATTTTCGTTTTGTAAGTGGATGCCACCTTTTCGTTGTAATTGTGCATTGTTAGTCCTGAAAATGATGTTATTAATGAAGTCAATCGAAATCTGTCTAGTGTCTAGTGTCTAGAAATCAAATATTTCCTCTCGAATCCCACTTACCACTCAAACTTGTTGCCCCTCTTGCAAAAAGCAAATATTTTTCATCTTCTTCTTTATAACTGTAGATTAAATCGTTCTTGAAAGGTAAATTGTTGATTTGTTGGGTGAATTTGCATAGAATTTGTCCATCGGCTTCGGTGAGAATAAAATTCGTCAACAACTTTGACATATCGTCTTGCTAAACGATTAAATAGTAACTATCGAAAATCCTTTTAGCTTTAGCGCTTTAGCCTTTTAGCGGAAATCTTTCTTTACCATTTCTTACTTTACTTTATAACTTTGAACTACAAATAGCACTACCGTCAAGCCATTGATTCGTATATTTTCTGGTCGATTATTATTGTAAGAGATCTTTGGCGTCATCGTTTCTGTGCCGATCATTGAAGAACATTCGGAAACAAATGAACTCCACTAAAGGAAAGTAAAATAAATTACTTCAACTATACATAAATTAAAAATAAACTACATTTTATTTAAAATCAAATACATTGAATCGAAAAATGGGCTTTTATTTTATCAAATCAAACTAGGAATGGTTCAGATTGACATTTGGCTTGTTCCTAGTCCGTTTAGCTCTAACTAGGGACCCTTCCGGACTTACCACCGACTATCAAAACAGGGTCAAGCCTATTTTGTAGTAAATTTTTCAATGATTCCGAAAAGGGATGTCGTTTGTGTGTGTTGCGTTCAAATTCTTGGAAATAATTTGATTTTAAATTTCTTCGTAAAAGATAATTTATCATTTTTTGGGAGACGCGTGTCATGAGAGGCGATTTTAAGAGCGTTGAAAGACATATTGCTGTGGACAGTAACCTAACGAACAGCAAGTAAACAGTAACCTAACGGACAGTAAGTAAACAGTCACCTAACGCGCCAATCATTTGGCCTTGATTCGATTCTGGTCAAAGCACATTTTCTTTTTCTTTTTTGACTAGTAAAGTAAAACACCTTGCATCTTAAGCTTTCGTTTGAAACATTTCATTCAACACTCATCCAAGTGCATTCAAATTACTAGATCAGACATAAACTAGGGGGAAAATGATAATCAAAAACTCTATAATTCTGTCAATTCTGTCGAATTCTGTTAAATTCTGTCAAACCCTTTTTGTTTCTAATCAAACTCTCACCATTTCCTGGGTGATCGGCGAACGCTAAAGCAATATAGCTTTACCGGTTGTTGATAATCTCTCGTGAATAACTCAATATCAAGATAATAGGTTCCGGAAACATTTTCGGAACTAAATAAATCTTAAAAAGAAAATTTCATAACTCAAACAGCTAAAGAAGTGACACCAAAACAGGTATCCGGATTCTCGTCATAGCAAGGCACAAAACATTGTTTACTTTTTCCGCAAGTGGATTTATCAAAGAGATCTTGAGACGAGATCTGGAGAAACTGTAGATTTTCATAAATTTAAGAGCTTACTTGTATTAAATTGAAAAATAAAATGAAAAATAAAGTAAACAGATAAATTCTTTTCATTTTTAAAATAAGCACACCAACAGGAAACTATTCAAAAAATCGGAGAAAACAAAAAAAAATGCTGAAAAAATGATAAAAAATGGGGTGATAACAGGGGTAAGCAAAGTAGATCTTTGGTTTGATTCACCAACAGATAAACGTCTATACATTATACATTGGTGCGGTATAGTTTGTAGACTTTGTAGAGTTTTGTTTGTATTCTATACTAGTCAAATTTAGGCCGACTAACCCAAGTAAACTCGCAAAGAGAACCACATATACTTTGCTTTGCCGATTGCCGATTGCTCCCAAAATTGGTGGGTAGGTAGAGATCGACTCTGAGGAACAACATATTAAAAATTCAGCTGCAAAGCTTTCAGATTACAGGAGTTTTAATGTTTTTAAGATTTGGTAAGGCTTTGGCGACAATGGGGTTTCTCTCTCCGCAACATATGGGGGCTAATTAACGCAGTGGAGGAATTGCGCATTGGTGTAGTGGTAGTGCGTTTAGTTGCAAAGCCGAAGCTGTCGAGTTGGAGTTCGTCTTTGAAAAACTTACAGCTTTTTGGACAAAACTCTTTGGAACAACCGTAATCTTGAAGCTTTGCAGCTGAATTTTTATATGGTGTTGTGCCCCAGAAGTCGATTCTACCTACCCACCAATTTTGGGGGCAATCGGCGTTCGTAAGTATATGTGGTTCCCTTGTCAGTCTTGAATGCCGCTTGCTGAACAACCCAGAGCCTAAAACCGGAGTTACCGGCATCAAGGAACAGACAGTATTGAAGCAAAGGTCTGGTACAGGCGCTGAAAGTTTTGCTTCCTTCTTTTCCGAAGCATGCCACTGCACGCAAACTCAAACCAAATTAACGTAAAAATCAAATAAGGAAACCAAAATTTAGAATATTTATATTTAGATTATCAAAGATTGTGGTAGCTTTAAGAGCTAGCTGTGGAGCTAGAACTAGAGTTAACTAGAGCATGCTTTAGAGCAGCCCAAGTCAAATCGGTGTTGGAAAATGTAGTTAAAACAGCGTCATAATAGAAAACGTTTAAAACAATAACACAGTGCCGTCAAATTTCTCACAATCCAAAAACCAAGCTTCAGAGTTTTATGCCAAAAATATCCTTGCGTTCTTGACCACATGATGGGTGGAATAGTTTTTTAAAAAGTAAAGTTTCATCGATAAAATTAGCGTTCAAAATGTTCAAAGTGATACTGAATTGGTTGACTGATATTCAGCCAACTAATGCTTGAAGATATTCAGCCAACTTTGACTTGTTTTTTGCTTATCATGCGTGTCGAGTGATACTCAGCTGGTTAACTGAACATCTTTAGAGGCCCCAAACTCACATTGATATCCATTCAATTTTTTCGTCACTTTATCACCAATTTCCCCCGCATAATTTTATTTCCATAAGAACCGAAGCGATTAAAATTTGAAAAACAAACATGCAAGTAAAAGAAAGAAAATGATTTCTTCCAAAGTTTGAGTCCAATCACCTACACGCAAATATTGAAAGGGAATGGCAATTTTTAGAAACTGCTCAGTGGAATGGTTACTTTTAAAAATTGAAATAAACGTTTACTTCGTGAATTAAAAAAAATTTGCATACTGTCGCGTTTTTGCAATGTGCACACAAAAGTGACGCGAAGCTTAATGACATTTTTTTGGTCATTTTTATCAACTGCCATCAATGAAGCCGTCTGCGAAGGAGGTAATGCTTTAAAAAATGTTGTGCTATTGCTATTTTTACGATTTTTTTTAGTTGGTTGTTTTTAAAAGTGTTTCTTTCTAAAAGATTTCTTATGTTGTTTTTTTCAGCTCGTGTCATCGATACACAAGGCTTTCACCGCAAATCCGCCTCCAAAGGATCAAGGCGTCGGACACTTAAAAGTTACAGTGAGTTCTTTATCTTTTACCTTTGTTACCTTTGTTACCTTTGTTAGGGTACTAGATACAAAGGCAGTTGGGGAGGGGCACTTCAAATTTTCTCAGATGTAGTTTTTCTAGGGTAGTTGATGGCGCTGATCACGAAAAAGCATTTTTGAGTTATGTTTTCAATCAAAAACTTAAAGGCGTAAAAAATTTATGTATTGGTGTAACCTTTTTTGTTTTAAAAAACTGCATGTCCCTTTAACTCGTTTTTTACTTGCTAAGATTGGTTTAATAAGCCCCGGTGATGAAGAAATCGCTTGGGAGCTTGAAGTCGGATCCCATCATATTATTGATTAGTGGGGTCAATGGACGCGCGACGTGTTCAATCAAAATCAATTTTAAGCACATCCACGAACACACGGGGGTCCAGGTGTCCACGTTGTGATAGACGAAAGCTGCATATCAAAAAGTAAATACAACCCAGGTCGGCTTCCCAATCGGATGTGGCTTTTTGGCGGAATAGAACGCAGATTGGGTCGTGGATTCATGAAACTTGTTCAACGCTTCCCAATGAAGCACCTTTTTTTGCCCATTATCCCAACTCACGTGCGACCTGATTCCATAATTCACTCAGATCTCTGGAGAGCCTATACAGGCATTTCCCTTATGTCCCAAGCCTAAAGACACATGAATGGAATCATCAATTGAATTTCGTGAATCCGACGACAATGTTGCATTCCAATGGTATCGCTTCAAAAAGTTCATACGACGCCACGGAATCAATGTCCATTCCAATGACAGATACGCTGATTACATGAACGAGTTTTTTTGACGTCAGGAATTTAAAAAGGACGTTGCCTTTTACCACTCCTTGGAGCAAGTGCGTCAGTTGTATCCTTGCGAGTAATTCCCTTCTCACAACATAAACCCCCAATCCAGCAGCCCTCTTAAGGACCACGAATTACTCAGTATAACGACAATAAATAAATGTTTTTAATTGAAAACATATATTAAAAATGTTTTTATCGTGATCGGCGCCATCAATTACCCTAGAAAAACTATATTTGAGGAAATTTTAAGTGCCCCCCAACTGCCGGGCACTACATACCTGTACACACTTGTAGATAATAGGAATGACGGTCCGAAATATTGCTAGAAGATATAAAATTATGTTATTGTTAAGCTAGAGCCAATTCGCCAATGTGTTAAATCTTTGTAACATAAATGTAATAGCTAGCCTGCATTTGATAATGCAATGCTTAATAAATTTCGCATGCGAACGAAGGCTTAAATAGAAACCTTTTGTCTTTCTTTCTACGCTTCCATTACAATAATCTTTATGCTTTAGGTGGATGTCGGTGTGACGGAGTGTCGTGTCGCAGCGAGTTCCGCGAATGTCAACAACAAACGAGCGTTTGAATTGGTGAGTTGCAAAGTTTTTCTTATCATTATCTTGTGATTCCCCTCATTGAGTTACTTTGGGTTAAAAAGCTAATTTTTTAGTCAAACAACGAGCCTGAACATTTCGGTCGACGGCTTGAAGCTCTCGGAACTTGAGACAAAAGTTAAACAAATCATCGCACAAAATGAGGTTAGTTCTTTGAATTGGTTTAAGAAACGTTGCGCGTTAGTATTTTGAAATGTTAGATTTATAGTCATTCAACTTTTTCCATTTCTATTTACAGTATTGGCTTACAAGTAATTTAAGCTTTACAAGTAATTACAAGTAAAAAGTTTACTTTAAGATTTAATTGCAAAAACAGATTGTTACACTTTTGCTAGATATCACTTAAATTATTAAGCCTAGAACATACAAATTTTTATCAGATTGTTACATTGGTTCATTGTATTGTTCTATTTTTTAAAGTCTAACTGTGATATTTAGTTGATCGAGGTACGCAAACAACAGCAAGTATATGCCGAACATCTCTTCAACGAGCTAGTCAACAAGAAGGAATTGAATAAAGGACAAAAGGAGGAGGTTGAAGAAACTTCGACAAGAAAGTGCTGCTTTAAAGATAATACCTATGCTTTGAAGGTACGTATTTTTGCTTGTGTTTTTATAATATCATATGTGTTATAAAGGAGAAATTGATTTATCCTAAAATAAAGTTTGAATTTCCTGGTTTACTTTTTGACATAAAGAGGTTGAATGAGCTAAAATGATAGGCGAATTTCAGCGTTTATTCAGCAGATTCGACGTTTGGCACGTCAGATTCTCGTTGTTCTTCATTTATTCTGTAACATTTATTCAAAAGCAATTTAAAAAATTGCACCAAATCTCGGAAAGCTTGGGATCAAAAGCAGAGAATGACAAAAAGAGTTGCGTCTCAACTTTGAGTCAGAGACAAAGTTTTCGTTAAAATCAGGGATTTTCTCGTTGTTTTTCGCTTGTTTCCGTTGTAATTTTCAAGAGCTTTCTTGTCGTTTTCACCATTTATGCTCAATCATTGAGTAGATCATTGAAATTACAGATTGATGCGGATCGATGTAGGACATTTCGAGGAGGGTTTTGACTGCAAATGCTTGTTATTGCTATACTTTAACCTCTAAAATTGTTTTTGAATGGCAGAGAAGTAAAAAGAATCTTTTCAGACTAAAGACATTCGAAAAACTAAAAGCGTAAAAACTGTAATGGTCGCAATTTGTACTCGTTTAACTTCTTTACCTTCGTGTTGTCAAAATCTTAATTCCGGGCCAACTCTCCGGCAAAACCGCCTCAACAATCGGATCGATTCCCAACTTTGCGTAAAGCTTTAATACCCAATTTGGTGCCGTGAAAATTGTGATTGGATAGCCTAAAACATTTTTTTTGGAGATTAAGTTTTCATCGTCACCTTTATTCCTGAATTCTGTGAAGCAACCACTTACAGCAATGTCGGAGAGAACCAACCGGACTCGGCGTGAATAGAATTCGTTCTCCATCGGTTGCCTGAATATTTGTAAATTTAAATAATTCTTATAATTCTTAGATTTTCGGATTAACTTACCGAATTTGTCATCGCCAAAATGTGCGCCTTCGCGACATCTCTCACGTCGACGAGACCGAGACAAGCCTTTGGACACGCCAGGAATGTCTTGAGGTGCATGATTCGACCGATTATCTACAATGGAAATAAATTCTCACAAGGGAAAGGCACCGAGTCAGAGATTAGCCTTTTTAACTCGGGAACCAAATCCATTTTAAGGAATCGGCCATGGGATCTCGAATCCGTTCTTAGTTTTCGCGGACACGCGAGATATCTAGTTTTTCGGGATATCTAATCTAAAAAGCTATCACATGCTCCCTTGACAACTGCTTCGATGGGCTAGTGGATAGTCTGCTAGACTACCAAACCTATTACCCTTCTTGCCCTCAACTTTGGAGTCCCACTCTCGCCAAACTTTTTCCTTCTTTAAAAAACTGTTTCCCTACGTATTTGCAATGAATAGGGTTGGATTTGGGTTTCAGAGTTGAATAGAATGATTTCAAGAATTCAAGAATAATAGAGTTGAATTTTTAGCCTGTAGCTTTCAGAAATATGGCAAGAAATGTTAAATTTTTCAAAACTTATCTACTGATTCTGATACTTTTGAAGGTTCCAACTTTTGTAAATTGTTTGTTGAATTTCAGAAAGCTTGTATAAAACTAAAGTCAAGTAATACAAATACGTAAGGAAACAGTTTTTTAAAAAAGCATAGAATTTTGTCGAGAGTGGGATTCGAACTCGAGGGGAGAAATGGGACAGGTTCGATAATCTAGCAGACTATCCACTAGACCACCGAAGCAGTTGTTGGAGAAGCCACATAAGGAGCTTGAAATTCAAGATGATTTTCTATGCCAAATATCTCAGATATCGTTTGCGAAGCGTTCTGCAAAAACTAAAAACGGATTCGAGATCCCGATGACCGACTTTATAAGATGGATTTGGTCTTGAGTCAAAAGTCAAAGCTTGACTCGATGCTTTTCATTCATATTTCGGAAGCCATTTATAATATGAGATTACCGTGCAACTTCAACTGCAACTTACCGTGCAACTTCCATTCTCGACATCGGAAAGCACGGGTCCAGTGATGAAAGTCGGATTAAGGACCGTCAATTGGAAACGGGTATCTTCTGAAAATTGAAGTATTCCGATGGTTAGAAAAGATGAATTTTTCAAATCTTAAAAAGACTTCAAAAACTCACTATCCAATTTTTCCCAAAATTCCCAAGCCGATCGCTCGGCTAGAGTCTTCGATCTCGCGTAGTATTCGACTTTTGGGCTCTCGAGATTCGCCCAGCAAGTCTCATCAAATATTCGCTCGTCATTTCTGTGGCCATCTGGAATTCAATTTTCATTTCGATTTCTGTACTTGTACTGAAGAAGTTGAACTCTGCTAAATCGTTTAACGCTGTGATTCGCCTAGATTCTCCTTTGTAAAGGGCTTTGTGCTTTGTGCTTAAAATGTAAACACACTCCTTTCTAGCGCACTAAATCCTAGCTTTTATTGCCGAACCAAGGTGTTATTGCTTGGAAAAATACAAATTCCGTGCATCAGCAAGTGTGCGTTTCCAAAGCAAGCGTAAACTACACCCTCAAACAGGCGATCATTTTTAACTTTGAACACGTTTTGGTCAAGTTTTACTCAAGTTTTACTCAAGTTTCCCTAAATTTTGAAAGCGATCAGGCGTCTATCCCTATTTTTCAACTCAAACTTGGGAATTTTTTTGCAAAAAACCGAACACAAAGTCTCTCTTTTCCGATTTACCCTTGAAAATAGGTCATAAATATTTTCGAGATCTCTTCAATCATTTCTTTTTCGCGAAATCTCCACCCAAATTTCTGTGGTTCGTGCTGAGAAAAAGGGTGTGAAAAATAGGTGATGATAGGGTGACAAAAACATCAACAATGATAGGGGAAAAGAGAGAAATTGCGAAATGACAAAAGATTTTTGTCTACCAAGTGGCGTCTGCAAAGGAGAGACCTTTAAGGCTAACGGGTTTTCGTCTAGACGCATCGAAAAGAAAACAAAATTGGTTGTTTTGAAGCGAAAAAACGGGTTGTTGATTTCTTCGAAAAAAAGTAAGAGTAACTACCGGTTGACCGTGAATTATAGCGACTAGGGGGTCTAGCTCAGCGAGAAATCAATGAATCCGAATGAAATTCGACGAATCTCTATCTCTAAAATCGAATTTCTATGTGGTGTTTGATCTTTTGTTGAATCTGTTTGATCTTTTTTTGTCTTAAACCGAATCATATTCATTAAATAACTTCAAAAACGGTTCTCAAAAACCTTAAACTGGGTTTCTCGTCAGGTGTACAGCGACTCTCAACTTTGTAAGGTCATATAAAGATTTTAGAAGCACCAATTGGTTAGAAAATGGGCTTGACTACAGGAGAGATACTCAAAAAACATCACCAAAAATTTCATACGGATTCATTGAGTTCTCGCTGACAAAGGAGGTTCGTCAACTTACCACCAGCTTTTAAAACGTGGCTTGGCACATCTAGACCAGTTTTTCGCGCTGATTCCGAATCTGTACTCGAATCTACCCCGGACACCCTCTGAGACCAGAAAAAATGGTGTTAAAGTTGGCTAAAAAATGGTAATAAGACACCACCTTTAAGGAGGAAAGTTAAGCGAGGGGGAAAAGTGACCGAATGGTGTAGTGGTAGTGCGCTACGCTCACATTTTTGCATCCCTGGTTCGAATCCGGATGCAACTTTTTTTTTTGGTTTTTTTAAAAGAGTTTTTAACACTTTTTTGTTTTACCATTTTGAATATGTATAGAGCGAGCGAAGCTGCTAAAAATGAGTTATCAGAGCTGTCAGCCTTTTGGAAAGAACCACGAATGACACTCAACGAATCGTGTAGTGGTAGTGCGCTCCGCTCACATTTTTGCATCCCTGGCTTGGTTCCAGCAGTGCATTTGAAATAATTTCTTCATAAATTCGATGTGTAAAGTTTTCTCGTATTCTCAACTTTTTAATAAAGTGGTAAAACAAAAAAAAAGTGTTAGAAACTTTTTAGAAAAACCAAAAGAAAGTTGCATCCAGTTCGAGTCGAAATTGTGGCGTAGGGATACCATTACACCATTCTTCCACTTTTTTTCTTTCCCTTAACTTTCCTTCTTAAAGGAGGTGTCTTATTTGCACAAATACCATTTTTTAGCCAACTTTAACACCATTTTTCCTGGCCTCAGAGGGTGTCTGGAGTCGATTTGAGTACAGATTCGGAATCAGCGCGAAAAACTGGTCTAGATGTGCTAGGGCTAGTCTAGTCTGGTCTAGATGTACCACGTTTTAAAAGCTGGTGGTAAGTTGACGAACCTCCTTTGTGAGCTCCTTAGAATTAGATCGTTAGAAGTGAGTCTCTATAATGTCAGCCTGTAAACTGAAAGTCTTTAAGCCGTGCCCTATTGCCTGTAAAAGCTGTTTTTTAGGCTTTTAAAGCATCAATCATGAATCATGAATCATGCTTTAAAACGAGAACTAGAACTAGCTGTCGGATGCCATAGCTTTCAATAAAGCCTAAGAGATGTTGCCTTTAGACTAAATAATAGGCTTTATTGAAAGCTATGGCCTTTTCAA